TTTATATTTACGATTTTTCTGATGTAATTTTGTATATGATTAATTTTTAACTCCGATGGTGAAATGATTGTTGAATATATACAGATTTTATTCTGTGACTGACTATATTTTTAATTTAGATAGATAGATAGATAGATAGATAGAAAATAACTTTATTCTAGGACACAGTCCCTTGAGAATAACAAAATAGAACAAAATTAAAAGATTACATCTGGCCAAAATAAAATCAATAAAAAAAAAAGAAATAATGTAAAGAAAATATAAGATAAATATTCTATATACAAAACAAACGGAACCATATACAAAACAATTACACTTTTAAGAAAACAATAAAAAATTAAAAAATAAAAATATATCAGATTCTTTATTAAAATAAGCTTTGTGTATCTGTTGAGAAAACAGAAAGCTGAATCTGACAATATAAAGTGCCTGATTAATATATAAATACATTATTATTTAGCATTGATATTTGATAATAAATGGCATGAAATAAATGTATGCTGTCGAATGGTTAGCAACTATCGTACTGTTTTTGGGATAGGAATTGGAATAGGAGGGATTTGAATGTGGATATGGATGGGGAATGTCGAATTTTGATAGGAAGGGAATTTCAGAAATTGACAGAGTGAGCAATAAAGGAGTTTTAGAATGAGGCAGATCTGTGAGAAGGCATGTTATTAAGGTATTTATTTTACTTATCGTTAGGTTATTTTATTTTTTGTTGTACATAGTTTTTGATAATTATTTAGTTGTTATTTTACTTTTGTTAATTTTATAGTTTCTGTATATATGGTGTGAATGTGTTCATATATCACTATAATTATTCTCCTCGTGACAGATTATTATATTTCTAAATAAATAAATTTTAAAAAAATATCTGTCACTGATGTGAACTCTTCATCATATATGACAGTACCCAATTATAACCCCTAATTTTATTTAATATTTTAATTGACTGCAACGGAATTGTATTTACGTCCGTTATTAACTTATCCCATCCAGACAATATCATTATGTATTTATTATGTATAAATCATTATACAAAGTGATATTTTACAATGATAAATTACTATTTAAAATATGATTGATCATATCATCAGATTAACGAGACACGGCATTTATCGTTTGAAACAATGTAAATACTACAGTTACTCAATATCCGCTCAGCTTAAATAATTGTTATTCGACTGGCGGGATAACTCATGTATCAGCTATCAACCATTGGATACCAGCCTGCTGAAATGGCACCCCTCCAAATGGTGTTATCTGTTGGCGTGATTTATCCAATCCCCCAGTAAAACCCGGAGTTAGTACGTGTGACCAGATAAATAACTGCGAATTCATTTCGCAATGCTGTCACCATAAAAATAGATCGACAGCGAACAGCTCTCTATGTTATAAAAATTTACTAGATCTGGGTTCCCGTTCCCTCTGAGTAACGATTATTTTATACATCGGATAACAAACTGTTCTTCGAGAGAACATCTGTTAAGTGAAAAGTTTTATGTCTAAAGTAATAACTTATTTTATTTATAAGCAGTGAATATTAAAAAAAAAAATAAACTATTTAGCTTGACTCAACAATAATAAAATGAGACGTAGTTGAAATGAGAATAAATATACAGTGCAATCGTAAATTGATGGCCTAGAAAAAATAATTAAGAGAACAGAAATAGAATTACAAAAGCGAAGGAGTAAGTTTAACTTACGGTTACAGTATATATCAAAACGTAAATTTTAGAAAAAAATCAGTGAAAATAATATATATTAATCTGATGATTTATTTGAATTTATTTTTTCTTATATATATTTAAATGAAAATAATTTATCAATACGATTCTATAGTAAATATATCGATTTTTTGCTTCCTCACTGCGTAAGGTAGGGAAGCATTGTGTTCCCATCAGAGGTCAAAAAAAAAAATTTAGGGATGAATTATGAAAATATAAAAATAAAAAAATTATGACGAATCTCTTTAAAAAAATAAAATGATAGAAGGATGAGATACTGGTCAGATAGGCGAATTCTGTTATTGATGCTAAAAATTATATAAAAAATATTGTAATAATAGTATAAAAATACAAATAACAATAATGTTTTCTAATTTCTAGTCTGTAGATAGGATAAGAAAGTGATCCCCAAAACGTCACAAAAATAAAGGAAAATTGTTGGGAGAGTAAATGCTGTTATTAAATTTCATTTATATACTTCGTATAAAAGCATCTCCATTAGGACTTATGAAGAAGTTAAAAAAAAATATATTCTCAGAATCGAAAATTTCCACTCGCGTTTTACGTTTCAGAAATCAAGGATCAAATTTAATTCGGCGTCAGTCTGTCTGTACACAAATCGGTGTAACGAGCATACCATCTACTACTGTTTATACGATTTTTATGAAATTTTCAGGGGTTCTGCGGCTCGGTGTCTAGATCCCATATCAATTTCATCCAGCTCCATCCACTTGCGTAACCTCAAACGTATTTTTTTAGATATGTCAATATTTCAGTTCGATCTGGCTCAAAGTTAGAAAAAAGATAGATATTAATAAAAACATAACGCAGTATCAATTTCATTGAAATGTGTTCTCTACTTTCTCTTATATCTGCGCAAACGTGTATTCCTATATCTCTAAAATCGCAATTTCGATTTAGCTCAATTTTGGGTGAAAGTTAGGGATTGGTAAACAGATAATTAAGTGAATATCAATTTCATATATTTCTATCCACTACTCTAAAAAAAAAAAACTTCCGCTTTCGGATCAATAAATGTATTATTCGACGAGCCTATAGTCTGAAAACGGCTCGTTCAATTTGACTCAAACTTGGAGGAAATTTGGAGACCATTATAAAAATTGCACAGTATGAATTTCATTGAATTCCATTTATAACTAAAATTGATATAAATAACTGTTAACAGTATAATGGTTTTGAAATGTTTTAATGGCTTTGTTTTTACTGAAGAAAAGTATTGGACTCGTTAACTCCGAACAGACAAAAAGTTGAATTATTTCCATGGATTTTTTGTTCCATCCATTTTACGTGTGAAAATATAGCTATTAATTATATATATATATATATATAGCTATATATAGCTATATAGCTATTAATTATATGTATATATATATATATATATATATATATATATATATATATATATATATATTATATATATATATATATATATATATATATAATTAATAGCTATATTTTCACTGTTAGTGCAACTACTGTTAGTGCAAAAGGCGGTATGTAAAATTTTTCTATTTTATTCTGTATTTGATATTTTTTAGTCGGTAACTGATATAAGTAGTCAGCTACAATAGAAAATATTAAAGGGTAATAAAATATGAAATTATACTAATAAATCATGAAGAAATTATTATTTTTTATGCTCTCATGTAAAACACTCAATTTTTACATATGCATATTCAATATGCCCGTTTTTGTTTTGTTATAATCAAGAATTATCAAATATGCAATTGCGGAACTCTTTCGCATTTTAGAATTCGCTGATGAACAAAACACGTTTATCTTAAGGGATTACTGGATTTCCGAAAACGGCTTCTCCGAGAGATTTTATCCTCACACGAAAACAGTCAGGAAGCTATATTGACCTTACTTGACAGACGTATTTATGTAATGTATTGATTAAGTTATTGAATTTATTCTTTTCTTTCTTATTGTTTCAACAGTATGCTGTGAGTCCTTGATCCAGACATACTCCTTTTTAATAAATTAGTAACTCATGTCTAAAACTTCATAGATTGCTTCATTTTTTCGTAATCTGTTCGTAATGTTTATCTGCGTAAATTCTCAGAAACCGCCTGCTTTTTGCTTTTTCCTTGAATAGTAGGATGACTTTATCCCCAAATCCCTCCCTTCCTCCCAAAAAAAGAGGCCAACGAACATTGTACTGTTTAGTTCATATAATCTCTTCTGAACATTTTGGGAGTGGAGGTCACGCCAAACAAGCCGACATTTTGTAGGAAACCTTATTTCTTCGTTCTGTCATCGTCATGAGTAAAATGTCCCATTTCCGAACATTTTCGTAAATAAAAAGTTGTTTGAAGTTACGATAAGATGAATTGATTTACGGAACTTTAGACGAATGTTAGTAATTTTATCAAAAGGTCTGTACAGCGGATATTTTGAAAACTGAATGCCAATTTCATACAAGCATAACTATTCATTAATTTTACCTTTCATACTAGCTGAGATTGAATATGATAAAGTAAACTCAAATATTAAGTAGAATTAAAGTTTATAATAACGAGGAAAATAAATTTTTAATCCCTATATACTTAATAAAAACCTTTATTTCATTCATGAATCTCGACGAAGTTTTGGGCAAATTTTGCCAATTTTCAAGTAAAAAATTATATGTATGATATAAATAACAATTATTGTAAATATATATGTAAATCATATAACAGCACACAAAAACAATACAATAAAAAATTATCTTTACAATCAACATGTCATATTATAAAACTCATAATATTCTTATTCAAACTTCAAATCATCATTACAAAACATACTAATTATTGTTCATTCTATAATTTCTCTGCGGATAGTCAAAAATAAAAATTATTCAAATATTAAAACATTTAATCATAAATAGCATGTGTATTATATAATACAATGCAGAAATGAAATAAAGGTTTTTATAAAGTGTTGGAGGGTTAAAAATATATTTCCTCCCATATTATAAACTTTATTGAAAAAAATGTGAGGATTTCATTAAGCACAATATAATTTTTTTTCTGTTGGTTTTACAGATACTCTTCATATATTTGCCGTTTCAACCAGCCTTCTCCACCATTGCTTTTTTTTTTTGTTTGATTCCTGACCGCCTATAGCAAAATAAATGATTGCAGACCGTGGGAATATAAAAAATCATCTATGAAACTTTGCTTATTTTGTACCCCTTAAAAAATAAATATCATTAATATTCATCTAAGTGATATATTATTATATAGGATCTTTTGTTTTATGTTTTAGAGTGCTGGTGCCTTAACATGAGTGGGATCTGGGTACCCCCCTACGCCGTTGAAGGTGAAGAACCGGAGCTGGAGTGTAGATACCAAGCTGAAGGTGACACCCTTTACGGAGTCAAATGGTACAAAGGAGACGAAGAGTTCTACAGATACATCTTCAGATCCACACCACCGTATAGTTCTTACGAAGTAGAAGGAGTTACTGTTAACGTGAGTTTTTTTTTTTTTTTAATTAGCATTATCTGTAACCACTAGTGTTGCCCAAATGAGAGACCGAGACGAGTCTTGGTCTTGCAAACCCAGTCGTGCTCATGGTCTTGGTCTTGCGCAAGAATCTCACCACAGTCTTGCAGTTACTTATTAGCTTATTACTGAAGAGATATTACTGTAATTTGTTAGATAGAAGAAACCTAACTAAGCCAGAATGAAAAATTAGAGGAGTTAAATGCAAAAGTATATTGCTTATACCAATTATTAACATATAGTAACTAAGATTGTCAAGTATTAGTAACTATTTTGCCTTAATTCTTATTCACAAAATCGATTTTTTTTTTTTACCAGTCCTGATCTTGGTCTTGCAACAGTTAGGCGGCCTTGGTCTTGGTCTTGCAAAGTGCAAGACCAAGACCTATTTTGGGCAACACTATTAACCACAATAGATGTAATAATAAGAGGAAGGAGATTTTTTCGATATATCTATTTTGTAAATATAACGACTCATTTCAAAATCAGAGTCCAGAGTTCCATAAAGAGACTCTAAAGACTTCCTCGTTTTTGTTTACTGATTTTAGAAAGTAGGTCACTCATCCAGCTTCTTTTCAATCGCCTGCTTATGGTCATGTCAGCCATACCATTTATATATGCTATTATCCATGTAGTTTAACTTCTAATCTGAAGGGAAGAGTATGTTTTGGTCGATAGTTGCGTTAAGTTGGTATGTACCTATAAGGAATCGTCTTCAGTAATTCTTAACATTTTGGATCGAAAAGATTGTAGTTTATTTGTAGTTTTTTTTCATTTTGACCTTTGGGCCACAGTCCGTCCATCTGTCAAATATTAGTTTAAGATAACGTATTATGTCGACCGAGGAACTAGTTACTCGTCGATATAAACCGATGGACATGTGCTTCGTCGTAGTACAAATGTTAATTTTTTTTTATTTATGAATATAATAATCTGTCACGTGGACAATACATACAGTGATATATGAACATATTCACTCTATGTATACAGAAAATATAAAATTAGCAAAAGTAAATTAATAATCAAAAACTAATGTTAAAATGTGTTGTTAAAATTGCCAATATCGTAAGCGTAGGAAGCAGTCTACGTTTCGGAGTTGCTAGGTATTTCATGCGTACTTATAAAGTAGAGTAAAGGAACCAGTATTGGTCCTTGAGATACCCCTGCCAATAATTGGAGAATCGAGAAAATTTTAAAGCATTGTCGGACAGGAAGAAATCTGTCGAAAAGAAAAAGTAACATTTAAAATGAAACCAGAGAACCAAGTTGTCGAAACCAGAGAATCTATACAGACAAATTCATCAAATTTGTAAAGTGAGCTATTTTTATTGAACTCATTTTATTTCATTTCTAGACACTAAAACCGTTTGTGAAACTATGGTTCCCATTTTAATCTAATAGTGAATATTTGTGATAATTATAATTGTGTTTAAAAAAAAAAATAGTTTACCCAATTCGAACTAAATTCAAATTCAACCATTTAGATAGAAGAATCTTCGAATTCAGGTGTATTTCTAATATTCGAATTCTTTTTTATTTATATAATTTTGGTTTGCAGCGCTTGTATGTATTCTACAGTATTGGTACGTAACACCAAAAATATGTTTGTCATTTTATTTTCATTCTCTTTTTTGTATTATCTAGTAGGAGAGCTTTATTTATATTGTCATGACCTTTGAGCGATCGATAGAATGTCTATTTGTTTTTCTGTGGTATTTCTTGCTATAAATCCATTCAAATTGTCTTTCCATGTGTCTCTATAGTATTCCTTAGATGGTTTATTTATATATCTGATGCATATAAATAATACAGTATTTCCTGGCATTCCTCCTCATCCAATCCCACCATCCCTCTTACATTTCGAAGTTTCTTCAATTCAAATCTTCTGTTTACTCCCGCAGTACCCGTTCCCAATATTCATATTTATAATTAACGACTCACCGAAACGCTTAAAATCCGCGGCTCTCGATAGATCATTCACTATTTGATCATCGCCTCTATTGAACGCAATCCTTTCCTACATTTGTAGCTTCAATACCATCTCCTTTAAATACCGCCTATTTAAGAACTTTCTATCCATCTAGTTAGAAAATAATTTTGCTATTATATTTTATGCTAATGAAATCTGTCCCAGAATAAATAGATATTATTATTAAATTTGGAGTAGGTTTTAAGAACATGGAAAATTCAGATTCGTTTAGATTTGAGATATAATATCATTTCAATAGTAGTTTTTCTTTGTATTTGTAAACACCGTAGGTATTTTTAAAAAATCTTAATTTTTATTTTCAAGATAATTTAAATGTATACATAAATGCCGCTGTAGAGACTGCAATCAGTGCTTCAATGGCACGCCAGTGACATGGACGTACTGTCGTATCCAGGTAGCCGTCATATTTACAGATGAGTTGTTACCGATTATAGCCAAGGTCCTTTGTAGCGCCTCATCCTTCAAGTCAGTTGGCATGCCTGCTTCTGTCTGAATGCCGTCTGAGTCCACTAGGAGGTGGGCTCGCTCCCTTTGCTAGGTCGAGTGTGAAACGGGTCAATGCCAACTGAAAGCTTCTGTCATGTGATGACATACACTCTCTACTCAATCAGACTGAAGGGTGGAGTGAAGAAAGTATCAATCAGTCTCGTAAATCCTTATATTATTTAAGTTAAAATTGAATTATCATAGCCATAAATAAATGGTGTCATACAAAGTTGACACTTTGTTTAATATTACAGAATAAGCATAAAGCTAGAAAAGAGACTATTATCTTCTTCTAATTATGTTATAAATGTTTTTTTTTTTATTTATTTTAAATGATATTTACAACTGTATACAAAAAAATACATCTAGTAAATTTGCACATTGGTATAAAGACATGGAACACATGTTGAGAAACTACCCATTGGTAGCACTCTAATAATATGTCTATATTAGAAGATCACGTGGCCATCTTCTTTTCAGCCGCCTCGGAGGGTTATCAGGAATCGAATAGGAAGCAAGGTTAGAGACAAGAGGGTTGGGATGGTTATGAAGTTTATTATGGAAGGACAGATATCTGGATTGGGCCAAATCTGATACATAAGGAACATTAAGGTCATTATGGATAATTTTATTTGTAACAAAGTAAGGAGCATTGAGGATTTTACGAAGGATTTTGGATTGCAAGGACTGTATGCGAGAGGAATTTGAAGGCTTGGTGGAGCCCCATAGCTCAACCCCGTAAGTCCAAATAGGCCTTATTATAGTCATGTAAATCAGTCTTTTATAATTGATTGGAAGGTTAGAGCGTTTGTCTAGTAAGTGTTGAAGTAGTCGGAAACGTCGAGCGGTTTCTTGTCGTTTCAGTCTGGTATGAGGATTCCAAGTTAGACGTTTGTCCAGATGGAGTCCTAAGTAACGGATTTGTTCAACAGGAATAAGTGAGGTGTTGTTAAAGGATACTGAAGGACAGGAAGTCATTGGTTTACGATGAAGGGTGAAGGTAATTTGATGGGATTTATTGGAATTTATTTTAATTCTCCATTTCTGACACCATTCTTCCAGGTTTGTGATGTGGGATTGAAGGGTTTGGGATGCAATAGATGGGTCATTATTGACTGATAGGATACATGTGTCATCAGCATATGTGGTGATGACAGATGTTATAAATGTAAAAATCCAAACAACAAAGCCTTGTTCTCCAAACATAAAGGTTAATAGCCAACTTTTCGCCAATTTGGGCATCATCAGGCAGAAAAACCAAGATCACTTATACAGAAAGAAAAAAACAAAAAGGAAAATACGAAGAAAAAAATTATTGCTGTTTTTATGTATTTATCTAATGTATTGATTAAGTTACTTAACTTATTCTTTTCTTTCTTATTGCTTCAACGGTGAGTCCTCGATACAGACATACCACTTTTTTTATAAAATTATTAACATATGTCTAAAACTTCCTGAATGGCTTCATTTTAGCGCTATCTCAACTTTTTATTTCCGAAAATTCTCAGAAACCGCCTGCTTTTTGATTTTTCCTAGAATCGGAGGATAATACTATCCTAAAATCCCTTCTCCTCTCCCAAAAAGATGTGGCCAACTAAATTGTTCTGTTTAGTCTATATAATCTCTTTTGAATATTTTGGGAGTGGAGGTCACGCCAAACAAATCGACATTTTGTAGGCCACCTTATTTCTCGAGTTTGTCATCGTCATGAGTAAAATGCCTCATTTTTGAATATGTCGGTAAATAAAAAGTTGTTTAAAGTTACGATAAGATGAATTCATTTACGAAACTTTAGACGAATGTTAGTAATTTTATCAAAAGGGTATGTACAGCGGACATTTTGAAAATTGAATGCCATTTTCAGTTTTAAGAGTTTAAGACATCTCACGAAGCCATCCAATTAAATACTGAAGGAAAAAAAAGGTTCTATTAACACAGCTAAAGAAGGTTATATTGAACATCTGATTAGCAGGAATACAAGGAAGAAAAGAAAAAACAAATTTATACGTAACTAAAATATAATAATACAAAATATGTAAATAAGATAAATGAACAATTTAATAAATAAATAAAAAAGACTCGAAGGTATATATAACATCCAATCGCAACAAAACAAAAGAGGACACACTGCCATTTCACATGCTATTATTACAAACGGTGATTGTGTTATGAATATCCAAACAACAAAGCCATGAGTCTCCAATCATTTTGAATGGCTTCGTGAGATGTCTATATGGATAATAATTTTTTTATCTTGTTTTACTTTTCTGATTTTTTCATTCTGCATATAAGTGATCTTATTTCTTCTGGCCTGATGATGTCTGAATTTGCGAAACTTAGGAAAGTTTCACCTGTACATTTGGAGACTCGTGTTTTGTTTGTTTTTTTTTTAATGTTTTCATTTATAACATTTTTGCTAATTAACACTAATTTGATTTGATATTCGCTGTTTGACAGCGTTACACATAAACTGGCTTCAAAAATGAGAAAT